CACATGGGACTGGCTCCGGGGACACACTGGTGGCTGCAGGGGTCAGACCCGAGCCCAGGGGCTGAATCAGGAACGACCACCTGGGAGGCCAAACTCAGACCGTTTGAGATCACCAGGCTCCATGCCAAGCATCCCGTCTGCAGTTCCCTTATTCCTCACTAGTTAAAATCCACTTTTCATCCATCCCGCTCGTTCAGACACCAAATTCCCCCCGGAGCCCACAGCAGTAATCTTTGGGGCCGAACGTTCATGAAGTGCCTTCCAGGAGGGGAAGGGGCTCAGTGGTGCGGAGGCTGGAGAAGCGGGAACACTTCCCCCGGCAACGGACCGTGTTGGTGCCCCTGCGGAGCGGGAGAGGGAGACAATCCTCCACCTCCGAGATTCCCGAGAGCTTCGGAGCTCCAGCAGCTGAGCTCACCCGGCACCGCCCTTCTGGACCGGGATGGTCTCGTCTCTGAAGCGCCTGAGGTTCAGGGGGTTCCTTCCCCACCCCTCCGAATAGCTCTAAGCGCTGAATTCCCGGGCAGGATTCAGGTCCCAGCCTGGCTGAATGGGAATCCTCTGCCGGCGGCGGGGGAGCCGGGATGCCAAGTAACCGAGGATGGCACGGGCTGACCTAAGGGGTTCATCTACCGGGAAAGTCGCAGGCACCGCGCCACAGCCAGGACCCCGCTCTGCTGCCCACCCTGCGCAGGGAGCGCTCCTCACCCCACGCCTCATTCCACGCTCCGTGTGCCGTGGGCCGGCCGTGTGTTGTGGTTGCCGACAGATTCCATGATTCCATTAATGAATTTATTTACAGGAGTCCGTGTGTGTAGTGGTGCAGGGGCAGGTGCCGGGGTAACGCCGTGTCCCTGCGGGGACTTTTTCATGATCGCTGCGTTAATAAAGCCTCGCCGTTGGATGGAGAGACTCATGGCGCAGGCATCCATCACCAGCCGGCTCGGGGGGTCCCCGGGAGTGCCGAGGGGATCCCCGGGGGATTCCCGGAGTGGTCGGCACAGAGACACCGGGTGGTTCCCAGCGTGCCGGGGATGCCTGGGGTGGTCCGGGGGTACCGGTGGGTGCCCGCCCCGGTGCCGGAGGTGCCGCCCCCGCCCCGCCCCGCCCGCAGCGGAAGCGCCACGTCAGGGGGGCGGGTCTCGGTGGTGCTGCCGGTGGCGGTGCGGTACCGGTAGCTGTGCCGTGCCGGTGGCGGTGCGGTGCCGGTGGCGGTGCGGTGCCGGTAGCTGTGCGGTACCGGTGTGGTGCCGGTGCCGGTGCCGGTGGCGGTGCGGTACCGGTGCGTATCGCGGTGCCCGTGCGTGTCGCGATGCCGGGCGCGGTGCGTGTCGCGGTGCGTGTCGCGGTGCGGGCACTGTGCCTGGCCGCGCTCCTGGGCGCTCTGGGGGCCGGCGGGACGGAGCTGACGCTGGAACTGCCCGACAGCGACCGGCGCTGCTTCCACCAGGAGCTGGAGAGCGGCATCAAGTTCACCCTCGACTACCAGGTACTGCCCTGACTGTGCCCTGCTGATACCCCCTTGCCATGTACGTGCCCTTACCTGCTTGCAGCCCTGCATGCACCCTGCCTGCAGCCCCTGCCCACGCCCCTGCCAGCAACTCCCTGCCCATCTCTGCCTGCACCCCCCTTGTGCCCCATCCCAGTGCCCCTGCCTTTGTCTTGTCGATGCCGATGCCCCTGCCTGTGCCCCCTTGCCCGTGCCTCCCTGCCCACACCCCTGCCCATGTGTGTGCCTATTGCCCCTGTCCATACCCCTGCCCCGAGCCCTGCAGAGCCTCATGCAGGACTGCAGTTCCCCCCTCCCATGTGTATCCCAGTTCCCCTCATGCTGTGCCAGGAGCTGTTCTCAGCCCCAGCCCTGAGACCAGCAGTGTCCACCTGGGAGCCAGGGCTGGGATGTGCCTACAGCAGCCATGGGAGCCCCTGACCCTGGCCCTGGGAGCTGTCCCTGTGTTCAGCCACCCTACCTGAGCTGCTGGCACCGGGGGGCACAGCTTCCCCAAGGCTCCCCTGGCCTGGGCCCCATCCCATGGGCATGGTGCCCGCTGGCCTCTCAAACAGCTATGAGGCCGGGCAGGGGCGGGGGCCCTCGCCACGTCACAGGGCAGGTGCCACCTGTATCTCCCCGTGCAGGTGATCAGTGGGGGACACTATGACGTAGACTGCTATGTGGAGGACCCCAATGGCAAGACCATCTACCAGGAGACCAAGAAGCAGTATGACAGCTTCCCACACCGCACCGAGGTTAAGGGTGTCTACACCTTCTGCTTCAGCAATGAGTTTTCCACCTTCTCACACAAAATCGTCTACTTCGACTTCCAGGTGGGCGATGAGCCGCCCATCCTACCCGACATGAACAACCGCGTCACTGCCCTGACACAGGTAGGTCTCGGGAGGGAGGGAGGGACGGAGAAAGGTCCTGCTGCAGCCCTCAAATGGCCTCACAGAACGGCGGTTGGAGGCTCATCCCCCTCCCCCTCCACCAGATGCAGAAGTGCCAACTGTCAGCCAAGAACCCCACCACATCCTCTGCCTGGGACAGGGGTGCTCTGCTGGCTCTGGGCTCTCCCAGCTGCAGCACTCAGTGTCCCTCCTGCAAGAGGGAATTGCATCAGCCATTCCATCCCTGGGTGTGAGCCCTTGGGCTGGGCACCCTGGTGCCTCAGCAGGGCTCTCAGCTCTGCCCCAGTGCAGAACTGCTCTGGGTGAGGTCCAGTGGGGAACTGACGCCACGGGCACTGCTGTCCTGCTCCTGGGGCTCTGTCCTGCTCCCTCAGCCGTGCCGTGTCAGGAGCGACAGGGCACCTTTGTCCTTGTCCCCCAGATGGAATCCGCCTGCGTCACCATCCACGAGATGCTGAACTCAGTGATCGACTCACAGACCCATTACCGGCTGCGGGAGGCACAGGACCGGAGCAGAGCCGAGGAGCTCAATGGCCGTGTCTCATACTGGTCAGTGGGGGAAACCATCATCCTCTTCATGGTCAGCATCGGACAGGTGATGCTGCTCAAGAGCTTCTTCACTGAGAAGAGACCTGGCAGTGGTGGGACCAGCACCTAGAGCTGATGTGTCTGTGCCTGAGCAGAGCGGGGAGCGGGATGGCAGCGGCCCTGGGGTCGCGCTTTCCCTGCAGTCTGTGCTGGAGGCGGGAGCAGGGGGTGACGCTGCTGAGCCGGGGGGACAGGGTGGGCGTGGACACTCAAGTACAAACATCCTCCTGCATTGCCTTCCACTCCCCACTGCCCACCTTGCTGCCCTGTCCCCTCGCCTGGCCACCCTGTCCTCGCTCTCTGGCTCTGCTGAGAAGCAGGTGGGTGCCTTGGACCAGCATCAGCACTGACACTGGGGGACCCTCGGAGCCCGACATGACTGCAGTGGCCACGAGCTGCCCCTTGGAGCCCTGCCTGGCCAGCGAGGGGATGGGGCAGCTCCGGCCCACCTGGTGCCCACCTGGTGCCACCAGCCCAAGGAGAGCTGCCCAAGGGCTGGGAGTCTCTGTCTGCACCCCGATTGTCCCAGGGTGGATAGCGTACTCCCAGCAGCAGAGCCACAGCAGCAGCAGCATCCCAAGAGGGGAGATTTTTTGCTGGGTGGTCCTGTGGCTCTACCAGCCCCTCCCCTCGAAGCATTTCTCAGGCCAACAGTGTTTGGTTTGCCCCTACCAGATGGTATTTACATACTCACATGACTCCATACCTGAGACTCAGGCCCCCGCCCACACCCTGCAGATATGTACCAAGGAAACCCCATCCCTGCCCCAGCAGCATTGGGTACCCCCATACCCTTGGAACTGCAGCCCCCTATTCCCTGGAGCCCCACAAAATGGACACCCCCAGGAGAGCCCTGGGGTGAGCCCCCTGTGCAAGGACGCTGGTCTGTGCAAGACCCTTGGTGGCCTCCAGCCCTCGAGCAGGTGTGAGATCCCTCCCCAGAGCTGGAGCAACTCCACTGGCCTTTGCCACTTCCAAATAAATCCCTGCAAGCATGGCTAGCGCTTCTGTTACTGGGCACTGCTCCTGCCTGCCTTCCTGCTTGCCCTGCTGCCTGCCCCCTGCCTGCACCAGCCAAGCCTGCTCCTGGCCCGGGAGCAGAAGCTGGAGAAATCCCTCGGCAGGAGCAGCCCCACAAGCACTGCCCCAGCGTGAAGCCACCCTGTCAGTGGTTTGGAATCGGTGTCCCACTGGGCAGTGGGGACCAAGGGCCTGAGGGAGCCCAGTACCCCACTGCAATGGAGCAGGGACCCCCAGGCAGAGCTCAGCTCTGTGGTCCCTTCCTCAACACCAGGGGGATGCCAGGGCAGTTTCCATGGTCTGTCCCTCACCCAGGCATCACTCCTGGTGCCATGGGAAGGGCTCAGCTCAGGATGCAGGAAGGAGTAAGGGGCACAGGCACCCACAGCCAGCCCTGCAGGCCTCAGGAGCTGTGCCACCTCCACTGTCAGCGCTGGCCTTGGGGCAGCTGCTGCGGGCAGGAGCATCAGCCCTGTGTGCCTCCCAGCGGCCTTGGGCAGGAGCCAGGAGCTCCTGTTTGGAGCAGAGCCAATGGCAGCAGCACTCTGAGACTGCCACCAGCTCGATGTCACTGGCAAGGACCAGGCCCCCCACCCACCGGCACCAAGCGCCCTACAGGGACGAACAGGGAGGGCAGTCCCCAGGCCAACCTGCAAGTGCCCTTGAATCTGCTCCTTCCTGGGGGCCCTTGAGCCCTCCTTGGTGGAGTCAGGGGCACCAGTGGGACAAGGCTTTGGGGACCCCAGCTCAGCTCCCAGACAAGGAACACAGGAGGGACTCGAGGTGACCATGGGACACTTTATTGCTGTGTGGGGCACAGAGAGGGGAGAGGGAATGGGGGGCACCCCTGCCAGCCTTGAGCCCACAGAGATGCTTTGGGATGCATAAAGGAAGTGGCAGTGACCCCATCCCTGCTGGGCCTGTGCTGGTCTAGCCATCTGCTGCTGGATCCCCCCGCCCTGAGCACCCCAGGGGTTGTGTTGGTCTCACAGGGAGCTGCTGTGGCAGGGGGCATCCCCGGTGGCCCCCCGGGACCCCCGCGCCCCTGGGACTCCCCGCTTGGATGGCAAGGAGGAGGCTGAGCAATGGAAGGAGCCAGTGGCTGGAGAGGGGGGCTGGGCTGGGGGGCTGTGCCTGCAGGGACAGCCCCAGCCTCCCCGGAGGGGGATGGTGAAGAGCCCGTAGGTGATGGGGTCCAGGCACGCGTTGAAGAGGCCAAAGATGAAAAGGATGTGTGTGAGGGCAGATGAGACCCTTTTCTCCACAGCGTGGGGACAGAACCAGTGCCAGAGCCCCAGCAGGTAGTAGGGTGTCCAGCAGAGGATGAAGGAGGAGACGATGACCAGGCTCATCCGCAGCATCCGCAGCCGGGCCCGTGGGATGTTGTTCCTGGAGCACCGCAGTGACGCGTCTCGCGAGGAGACTGGGGGGGCACAGCCTGTGAAGGGGAAATGTGGGTGGGACAGGGACCCCATGAACTGGGAGAGGGTGGGGGCATCCCTACAGAGCCCCAGCCAGTGCTTCCCCGGGCGTGGGGCCACATCCTGTGGTGCCCAGAACTCACAAAGGCCGGAGCCCATCCGGCGGGAGATCTCGAGCAGGATGCGGATGTAGCAGCAGACCATGATGAGCAGCGGCAGCAGGAAGAGGCAGGCAAAGCCCACCATGTTGTAGAGGGTCTCGTGCCACGGCTGGGGGAAGCTGCCACGTGTGGTGCACTGGGTGAAGTTGTGTGGGGGGCGCAGGGTGACTGTGCGGAACAGGAACAGCTGGAGACAAGAGAGGTGGGCTGGGGATGATGGGGGTCTGCACCTCCCAAGGAAGGGAGAGCATCAGAGACCAAGGCAGGGACTCCCAGAGCCTGAGAGACAGACACAATCTGCCTGGTGGGACCCAACATCACCCCTGCGTTGGCTCTGCTCCCAACTGCTGGTGGTCCAGAGGGCACCTCAGGGAGGGGGCAGAGCTGGGGGTCACTGCCACAGCCCCTCTGTTGACACTCCTCCATCCCCACCACACAGAGCTCTCCAACCCCTCTCCATCCCCCTCCCACAGGGTTCTCCAGCCCCTCTCTACCCCCATCCTGCAGGTCACACAGTGGCACTGAGGCGCTGACTCTGGCTGGTGTCACCGGAGCCCCGGGAGGCAGCACAGGGGCCGGGGACGGCGGGGTCAGTACCTGTGGCACGGCCAGCCCCGCGCTGAGGACCCAGGCGACGTGCAGCATGGCGCGGTTGCGGGCGCGGGCGCGGGCGATGGCCAGCGGGCGCAGGATGGCAGCCTGCCGGTCCAGGCTGATGACCACGGTGACGAAGGCGGAGGCGTACATGGCCAGCAGCCGCAGGTACATGAGCAGGCGGCAGGCCAGGTCGCCCGCCCGCCACTGCAGCGTGATGTTCCAGATGGCGTCCAGCGGCATCACCGCCACCGTCACCAGCAGGTCGGCAGCAGCCAGGTGCTGCAGCAGCAGGCGGATGTGGGGGCGCCGGCCGCCCCCCCGGCCCCCCGCCACCCGCAGCACAGCCAGGTTGCAGCCGGCCGAGAGGGCAAAGAGGGTGAAGGTGATGGCCACGCGTGCCTGGGCGGCAGGGGAGAAGGTGGGCAGGCGCAGGGGCTCCTCGCCGTTCTCAGCCGGGGGGCTCCAGGCACAGCCCCGCTCGGAGGGCACGGTGCCGGGGGGCTCTGCGCTGGCGTTTCCCACTGTGGCATCTGGGTCTGCATGGCCCCTTCCTGCCACAACAGCAAAGGGGCAGTGGCAGCCCTGAGGTGGGAGCTCCAAGGGACAGGCCACACTCAGCACTGGGGGTCCCGTCCCCCAGAGCCCCTGGACAAAGGGCCACAGTTCCAACACCACATTCCTGAGCCCAGCTCCATGTGTTCCGTCCATAGCTGCTCACTGCATCCTACTGCTCCTCCAGAGGCCTCCCCACATCTCCAGGGTACAGGGGGTCCCTGGCACCAAGCAAGGCAGGGGGAGGCAGCCACAGCTGACCCCAGCACACTACCCACCCCGGGCCATTCCTGCTGTCCCCATCCCCTGCCCAGAGTACAGTCCTGCCTAGGATAAAGACCCCCGGCCCCCATGCTGACCCGTGGGGGACCAGACACGCCATTCTCCCCACCTCACCTCCATCTGGGGTGTCCTGTCCAGCATACCCCAGCCAGGCCATGGTAGGACCAGTGCTCATGTGCTGCCAGGGCTCTGCACTGAAGGCTCCCACATCTGCCCTGGGGCCCGAGGCGGAACGGGCTGAGGACCAGAGCGGGTACTGGTGCAAGTACTGCCAAGCACTGGCGCCTGCAGCTACTGCTGCCGTGAGGTGGGTGCCCTTGGCTGCTCAGAATGGTCCTTGACGTAGCCGGGAGCCTGGAACAGCACGGTCCTTCCCTGCCGCCCACAGTGCACAGATGTGTAAGTGTGCACGGTGCTCACACACAGGGACGGACAGCAGGACCTGCCCCACATCTGTGGGATGGAGACCCCCAGCCCAAGGGGGAACCTGCTCCAGACCCCAGTCCGAGGGGTGCTGCCTGTGCCCCCCAGGTCTGGCACTGCTGCTGCCAGGACCAGGCATTGGGTTGCACAGGGGCTCCTCGTGTTGAGGTAAAGCATTTGGGGGTGACCCAGAGGCCCAGACATCCACAGGTCCCTCCTCCCAGCCCTGCCACTGCCAGCTGCTCCCTCCAGCTGTGCCATCACCATGGCTGGAGTGTGTCCCAAGGTCCCTTCAGCCCTGGTTGGAGTGCATTGTGGTGGGGAGGGGGGGGGGATATGCAGCCTGGGAGAGGGTGGGGGGCCTGCTTTGCACCTCAAAGGTTTGCCCCCACATCCCCCTCCCCTCGGCAGAGGCATTTAACTTCATTATTGAGTCCTTTCACACTCCGTGGGGCTCATTAATACCCCGTCCCCCACCCCAGACCCTGGTGTGGGGAGAGCCCCCAACACATTAGCACCCGGCTGCTAGGTCCCACCACCGTCCTGCTAATGGGGATCCCAGACCTTGGGTAGCCATCAAGGGGCTGGGGACAGAGGGGCCCTGTTGCAGGCCCCCACATTCCCCTCCCAGTGGGGTCTCCAGCCCATGGGCTCAGGCTCAACCTCACACCACGCTGGACCCCAAATCCCCCCATTTCATGCTGCAATGGAGGGCTTCCAAAGGCCCAGAACCACTAGGTGGGAGGGCTGGATCTGGAGGGTGTTGGGCACCCTCACTCCTCCCTGGCCAGGCGTCAGACCCCAGGGCAGGGTGGGTCTGTCTTGAAAGCCCCCCCTCAATTGCTCTCCCAGATGGTGCCTGGCTGCCCTACAGCCCCCAGCCCTGCAGCCCAGCAAGGGCACCCTGGGCACACTAAACCCCATCCCGTGCCAGCTCCAGGGAACATCCACACGGACACACAGGTAGGGCACAAAGGTTTATTCACTTCCAGCCGTGGCCGCCCGGCGCATCCAGCACAGCTCTGGGCTCCAGTGCGGGCAGCTCGACCCGCAGCTGTCTGAGGGCTCACAGGTGCCCTCCAAGCAGCCGGGATCTGGATGGGCCCCGTGGGGCAGCGGGTGCTCCATCCTCAGGGGTGTGTCCAGGTCAGTGTCGGGGCTGCGGCGGGAGCAGAGCCTCCAGCAGTGAGAGCAGGTCTGCAGAGAGGTCCTGGGGAGCAGACGGGGAGAGGGTGAAGCGCCGGACAGGGGGCCAGGCAGGGCTAGAGATGTGGGGATGACAGCCCACCCCCTGGAAGGCCTCCCTGTCAGGGACAAGTAGGAGCACGACCTCCAGTCTGTCTCAGCTAATGGGATCCCACAAACAGGAGAGAGGGAAGCACCAGGAAGGATGGGACAGGCTGGGGGACCCACTTAATCCGCCACAGGGAGCAGGAGTCACCTCTCTGTTCCCTACCCCACACAAGGCTGTTGTTAACCCCAAAACCAGCTCCTGCACTGCCTCACACCAAGAGGAACCTGAGGCCACCCCAAGGGGTGTTGATCTCTGCCATGAACCAGCCCCATTCCCAGAGTCACCCCAACCCCTGCCAGCACATACCTGGGTGACTGTCCCTGCTCCCATGAACTCCGGCAGCACCAGCCCCGCATCCAGGAGTGGATCCCCAGGTAGATCCGGGGGCGCCTCAGCCCCTGCGCAGTGGGGAGGGGTCAGCCAGGGGGACTTGGTGGAGGCGACAGCCCTGTGCAACTCCAGAGAGGTCTCCACTGCAGGGATGTAGGGGGGCGACCCCCAGGTATCCATTGTGATGTGAGAGACCCCGAGCACCTCTGGGGGAGTCACTGTTGCAGGGGTGTAGGGAGGCGACCCCCAGGTCTCCATCCCTATGCTGGGACCCTCAAATACCTCTGGGAGGGTTCCTGTCACAGGGATATAGGGGGGTGACCCCCAGGTCTCTAACCCTGTATCCGAACCCCCAAACACCTCTGGGGGAGTCCCCGCAGCAGAGCCAAAAGGGGGCGACCCCCAAGGCTCTGTCCCCGTGCCGGGAGCCCCGCACAGCTCCGGCGGGGGGCCCGCCACGCGAGGTGACACCCAGCCCACAGTGCCGGGGGATGAAACATCACGGGGGGCCGTGTCCTGGCAGCACCCCAGGCCCCGGGGGCAGAGGGGGCAGTGTCGGGGGACCGGCGCCCCCCGGCCGAGTCCCAGCAGGGCGGAGAGGTGGGCGATGTAGCGGGTGGCGAGGCGCAGGGTCTCGATCTTGGTGAGGGTCTGCCCGGCGGGCGCCAGCGCGGGCGGCAGGTAGTGCCGCAGCCGCAGCAGGGCCTGCGCCAGCCGCCGCATCCGCAGCTTCTCCCGCTCGCTGGCGCTCTGCCGCGGGACCCCGGGGCCCCCCCCGCCCCGCGCCCCCTTCCTGCCCCGGGGGCGGAGGGCGGCGTGCCCGCGGCAGGGTCCCCGGGCGGCAGCGGGGGACGCGAGGCCGCAGGAGTCGGGCGATGCTGCGGGCGAGCTGCTGCTGTAGCCCGGGGTGTCCGGGGGTCCGCGGCAGCCCCAGTCCTGCAGCGGGGCCGCAGCGGGCAGTGCGTGGCGAGGCGCTGCGGAGTGGGCCATGGCGGGGCCGGGGCAGGGAGCCGTGTGCCGGGAGCTCCCGGCTGCCCCGGCTTTATGCCGGGCCAGAGGTGTGAAGTGTCACCTTCGTGGCTGCAGCACTTCAAAGGCCGGGGGACGGGTGGGGGAGTGGGCAGGGGGCCGAGGGACGCGGCTGTGAACGCGGGGTGACAGATTTCACCCCAGAGGTGCGAGGCTGCTCTGTGCTGCCCACCCTCGGCACCCCGTACCCCCAGCGCTGGGCTGGGGATGGGGCTGGGACCCACATGGGTCCCGCAGTCCTGTCCTGCACAGGGGCTGCCGCGGGGCTGCAGCAGGGTGGCAGTGGGTCTGCTGGGAGTGGCTGCAGTGGGGCAGCAGCAGGATCTGCAGTGGGGGTGCAGTGGGGTGTTCTGGGGCTCTGCTGTGGGGCTCTGCTGGGACTGCAATGGAGTTTTCAGTGGCTCTGCAGTGGGGTGTCCCTATGTCCCCCCACAGCATGACCCCAGCCGGGCATCCCTGCTGTCCCGGTGGCTTTGTGGGACTCCCCTACACCCGGCTTGGGGGTCCTGGTCCACCACCGCCCCCATCAGCCAGGACCCCGCGGGCCTGCCCGGTGATGGCAGTGGCGGGGCAGCGAGTGCCGAGGGCCGGGGCTGGGAGGGGCCCCCCCGCCGCGTTCCCAGGCCCCACAGGTGTTAGGGCCGGCGGGTGAGAAGGTTTCCTGGGAAACGGCCACACCGAGGGACGGAAAATCCATCAGAGGGCTAGGGACAGCGGCACGGCACGGGACCCCAGACTGGGTGTGCACTGCCTGGGGGTACAGCTAGGGGCACAGGACCCCACAGCTCAGGGTTTCGGAGGGGACAGGAGACACCCACCCCCCAAAACGGGGGGACACATCTGAGAAGTGCCCAGCGCTGCCCCAATACGGTCTGAGACAGTCCGTGTCGACCCCATTCAACACCCGTCCCGGGGTGGAGGTACAGCGGGGGTCCGGAGCAGCCTGACCCTGGAGCGTGGAAGGGGCTCTGGAGGAGCTCTGCACCCCACAGCCCAGCCTTGGCACGGCCCCTTCACGCTACCCGGCCTCGCTTTCCCCCGCGCCCCCCCCCACCAGGCTCCCTCCTGGGTCTCATTATCTGATGAGCTCCCAGATAATGAGTTCTGCACCCGCCGCAGCCGCTTCCCACCTCCCTGTTTGGACAAGTGCTGGAGTGCGGCTGGGCCAGGGCAGCGTCGGCCGCGGGGTCAGAGCCCCCGAGGGACACCCCGCAGTCCCTTGCTCTGTGGGGCAGGTGGGGCCCCCACATCCCTCCAGTCCCTATCAATGGAGCAAGGCTATCGGGGCAACGTGGCGAGGGCACCAGGACTGAGCTCGGCCAGTGCCCAGCTTGGACTGAACCCCCAGGAGCCCCCAGCCTCCCTGCTGAGGGATCCCCTGCCCTTCTGGGACCCTCCCAGGGCATGTCACTGCCCACCTGGGACCCTCCATCCCTGCTCCAACACCTCCCAGGTCAGACACTTGTGTGGCTCCTGGTGGCCACACTTGTCCCTCCACCTGGGATGGGGACACCTGGCACTGACAGTGCCCAGGGCTGTGGCTGGCACAGGGGTCAGTGCTGCAAAGCACGGAGCAAATAGTTCCCTCTCCCTCACTGCGCTCCCCCAGCCCACCTGCATGGGGGGGGCACTGCTGCCAGCACCCTCAAGAGCTTGGCACCCCTAGCAGTGCCCCCCACTGCTTTGGGGACCCCGACCCGGAGCAGCACAGGGAACCCCACCTCCAAGCAGGGGGCACGGCCCTGTGGGTCCCCAGATGCCTCAGCTTCTCTGGAGATGTCTGGGGCTGCATCCCATGGGACTGGGGAGACAGAAGCAGAAGGGCAGAGCAGGGATGTCTCTGGGAAGGGAGAACCCCGGCCTCTTTGCCCAAACGCCCTGCACTCCCTACACCCCCTGCCCCTTCAGGCCCTCCATCTAAGCCAGAGCCCACCCAGTACCGCCAGGGCTGGGAGCTGGGCAAAGGACAGGGAGCTGTGGGGACCCTGCTGTGTGCCAGGGCTGGCAGCTTGGGGTCCCAGCACTGGAAGGTCAAGTCCCAGATACCCGCTGTGGCCAGCGGGGTGACGTGGTGCGGGGTG